GGGGAACAAGAAAATGATGGGAGGGTGGGGGGCAGAGGGTGGGGATCCCTGCTCCCCACGTCAATCAACAGGAGGCTGCTCTTTCCCGACCAACAGATGGGTATGGCACGGGCTGTGCTTCCCCCGGGGGCAGGAGGCCAAGGGATCAAATGTTAGCTGAATTCAATCAAGGAGGCGCTCAGGGAGGAGTGGGACTAGCAGCAGCATTTGTATATTCAGAGAGGAGGCTGGGAGGGCTTGGCAAGCAGGAAGAACATAGCGGAGGCGGAGGTGTTGGGGGGAATGAGTGGGGGTACCAAGGGGACTGTGGGGCGGGGAGGAAGAGCGCAAGGCAAGGAGACAGGAGGAGAAGGGCGAGGCCGACAGAATTAGGACAGGAGAATGTGAGATGCTGCGATGCCGAGATGCGAGATGCATTCCTGACAGCCACCAGCAACCACCGCCCACACTCCCAACTGCAGACAGGGACGCTGCTGCTGCCGTCCCAAGAGGAGCAACACACCCAGTAGAGATGAGAATGCGGGGCCCCACGCAGCCCCTGTGGGCATCTGACCCCAGACCACCTTGGCAACCCCCGCTGTTGATACAAAGTAGAGATTCAGGCGGATCTGGCAGCAGGAAGCTGAGGGAAAGGAACAGAGAATTCAGGGAGCTGTCCCCGCCCCCTGGCCCCCCACCCCCACCCCAGGGGAGCACACCACGGCCAGGGCTGGATGGCGGTTAGGTGGCTCCCTGTGAGGAAGGGACTGAATCCACAGCAGCTAGACTAAGACTTAGACTCGATCAGGGGCCGGCACAGGGGCACAGTGGGTTACGCCCGCTCCCTGCTAATGCACCCGAGGGGACAGCGGAAAATAGCCCAAGTACTCAGGCTCCTCACATGGAAGACCCAGATGGAGCTCCTGGCTTCTGATTCCGCCTGGCCCCGCCCTGGCTGTTGTGGCCATTTGAACCAGTGGGTGGAAGATCTCTCTCCCTTTCTGTTGCTCTGCCTTTTGAATGAATAATTAATTAATTAATCTTTAGACCAAGACCAGCGTGGGCCACTTGATGAAAGGGCCAGTTGTCTCCTTGCAGGTTTGTGACGGCCAAATAGAAGAGCGTTATCCGACCTAATGTTTCCTGTGCCCTTCATACACACACTAAGGGCTCCCAGCTTTATCTCATGCGAGTGTCACAGCACCCAGTACTATGAAAATGCTCTTTTACCAGTGAGAAAACCGGAAGTCACAGGAGTTAACAAATCAGCATGGAGTGACAGGACGAATAGTGATTTTGAAGACCACATGCTTCTTTTTTTTTTTTAATTATGTATTTGAAAGTCAGAGCCACAGAAAGAGATGGACAGGGATCTTCCATTTGCTCCCCTAAATGGCTGCTATGGCTGGGGCTGAGACAGGCGGAAGCCAGGAGCCAGGAGCTTCAACCGGGTCTTCTACGTGGGTAGAGGGGCCCAAGCACTTGGGCCATCTTCCGCTGCTTTCCCAGGCCATTAGCAGGGAGCTGCATCAGAAATGGAGCAGCAGGGACTTGGACCGGTGCCCACATGGGAGGCTGGCATCATAGGCTGTGGCTTAACCCACAGTGCCATAACACTGGCCCCCAGGAACTTGGGTTTTCAAGCCTAAATAAGCTTTTCCAAATTCTTGCTGGCAGTGAGTGTGATGCAATCAGGTCTCTCCTTCTGTCTCCTCGTACCTAAAACGCAGCACACACCGCCGACCTTACAGGGGTCCTGTGAGCAGCAATGGGCGAGGCACCAAAGCACGGAGCACAAGGACAGGCCCGCTGAACACTGGCGACTGCAGCCTTGGGCTTCTTCTTGCCAGGAAGCTCTGGCCAGGGGCACGTGGCCTCTGCATCTGGCTGTGGTGGACAGAACGTGAGCCGCATGACAACAAGGAGTCCCAAGCATGGCCTCTCCTGTCTGTCCCTTTATGGGCCTGGGAACAGCTGTGTCTCCGGAGAGAACGTGGGCAGCTGAAGGCCCCCGCAGGTCAAGGCACGGAGACGATTCCAGACCCCAGCAGTTTTCTTGCAGAAGCCAAGACACAGTGAAACAGGTCACACAGTGTCAGGACACACAGTGGAAAGGTGTCCAGGGATCGATCGTGTTGGGGACGAGAACCCAGGAAGTGAGCGGGGTCACAGACCCTCCCAGCAGGGGTACAGTCCTACAATGGGGTGGGGGTGAGGAAATGCACATTGAAAGATTCACGGGCTGCAATTCCTCAGCACACGTCAATCAGCGTCAGGAGGACCTTGCTTACCTAAAGGCCATTGGTCAGGTGTTCCCTGAGAGCCAACCCCAAAGCGGAACAAGCGGCCAGAGGTCCCACTCCGCGCAGCCACAGGGACCTCAAAGCCCGAGTGCGAGTCTGATTGCAGGAGAGCCCCTGGAGGCCTCTCGCCAAAACCATCCCATCTTCTTTCAGTGTTTTTTTTTTTTCTTTTTTTTTGACAGGCAGAGTGGACAGTGAGAGAGAGAGACAGAGAGAAAGGTCTTCCTTTGCCGTTGGTTCACCCTCTAATAGCTGCTGCGGCCGGCACGCTGCAGCCAGCGCACCAGGCTGATCCAAAGCCAGGAGCCAGGTGCTTCCTCCTGGTCTCCCATGCGGGTGCAGGGCCCAAGGACTTGGGCCATCCTCCACTGCACTCCCTGGCCATAGCAGAGAGCTGGCCTGGAAGAGGGGCAACCGGGACAGAATCCGGCGCCCCGACCGGGACTAGAACCCGGTGTGCCGGCGCCGCAAGGCGGAGGATTAGCCTAGTGAGCCACGGCGCCGGCCCTTCTTTCAGTTTTAAATAACATGACTGATTTCTCAGTCCACTGCACCCCAGAAGTCCCCAATCTGAGGGGGACAGGGAGGGCTGCCAGGGGCTGGCACATTCAAGGCCGTGAAGAGAGATGGCCAGCATTATTCTGCTTCTCATTCCTTTAACTAAAATACCCGAGAGGAGGTTCCTTGGGAGAGCCAAGGTCTGTTTCAGCTCACAGTTGGGGTCATGGGATCAGGCGGTTCCATGGCCCGGCGTCCACGATGGCCGGTTACGGTGGGTGCAGGGGCAGGACCACACCGCGGCCAGGGAGCAGAGAGCACAGCGAGGCAGAATTTGAACTCAAATCATCAAAACCTCTCCTGAGAACCACCCTCCAAGGGCACGTCCCCAGCGACCCAAAGACCTCCCATGGGCCCCGCCTCTCAGGTGCCATTGTTAGATCAAGTCTGCACTCTTAATCAATCATTGAGACATTAAACAGCTGCACGAACGAACCTGGGGAGACAAATCCAGCTCAGCGTCTAACACTGACCGACACATCCTAAAAGCTGAGTGAGGCCAGCTCACTTTGATCCAGAAGTGTGTGTGTGTGTGTATGTGTGTGATCTTTCTGGTACATTGCCACTCAGAAACATTAATATTGTACTGTATGGCTTAAGGAATAATTTTCAGCTACTGGGAAAATTCACCTACTCCAAGGTTGCTGGGAAAAAAAAAAGTGAGCACGGCGGCTCACTAGGCTAATCCTCCGCCTTGTGGCGCCGGCACACCAGGTTCTAGTCCCAGTCGGGGCGCCAGATTCTGTCCTGGTTGCTCCTCTTCCAGGCCAGCTCTTTGCTGTGGCCAGGGAGTGCAGTGGAGGATGGCCCAAGTGCTTGGGCCCTGCACCCATGGGAGACCAGGAGAAGCACATGGCTCCTGCCATTGGATCAGACATGAGCCCAGTGCAGGAGAGGGGGCTTCCACGTCTAACACCGCCTGTCTCTGGGGGCGCTGGGTCTCCTGTCAGGGTCTTGCCAAGTTCACCTGCATTGTTTAGGGCACCCAGGCAGAGGGTGCCTCCTGCCTGTGCTCCCAGCACAGGGTGGCATCTACCCAGGCTGGCCCAGGGCTGGCTCGGTGACTGTTGAAGGGCTCTGGTCCCCATACGAGGGCTGGACGGCTCCATCACCTTCCTGAGTGCTTTAACCCATGGTGTGCTGTTGAGGAAGAAAGTGAACAACTGTAGCTATCCATGGAACATCTGCAACTCAACCTCACCCTGGGCCAACAAGCAAGTTTCAACAAATCTTTTTTTTTTTTTTTTTTTTTTTTTTTTAGGATTTATTTGAAAGAGTTACAGAGAGGTAGAGAGGTCTTCCATCTGCTGGTTCACTCCCCAAATGGCTGCAACAGCTGGAGCTGAACCAATCTGAAGCCAGGAGCTTCTTCTGGGTCTCTCACATGGGTGCAGGGGCCCAAGCACTTGGACCGCCTTCTACTGCTTTCCCAGGCCATAGCAGAGAGCAGGATTGGAAGTGGAGCAGCCAGGACTCAAACTGGCGCCTATATGGGATGCTGGCGCTGCAGACTGGGGTTTTAACCTGCTGCGCCACAGCACTGGTCCCTTCAACATATTTTGAAGGATGGAAGCCACTGGGTCATTGTCCCTGGACATGAAATCATTAAGCCATAAAATCATAACTATAAGACAAAGAGAAAAATCTCTTATTTTTGGAAAGTAGGAGATATGCTTTAAAATAACCAAAGGGATATGCATCTTGTCACTCAATCCTCCTAACTATTCATAACGCAGGCACTCATTTTAGAAATGCAGAACTGAGATTGGAAAGAGAACATAATTCGCTCCCGTTCACCCAGTTAGCAGCGGCAGAGCCAGGACTCAAAGCCAGGCTAGGTTCCAGGCTCCAGGCTCCCGGGCACCAGGGCTGTCCTGTGAGGCCGCTGAGGCTGTCGCTGGACCCACAGATCCACCCCAGGTCCACAGGCTTGCTGCTGGGAGGCGATGGTCTAGTCCCAGCTGGCTGGTGGCCCTGTGCTGTAGACGGGTGTTGGCTCCTGCCTGCCGCAGGGTCCCCTCCTGGGAGCAGGGTGAGAAGTCCTCAGTAGTGGAGACAGAGTTCCAGGTTGATCTTCCCACACAGCCTTGAACCAGATACCCGGGAAGACTTCCCCTCTGGGGCCCAAGGGGAAGCGAACAATTACAGACAGAAGGAGCAGGCATTTCCCATCTTGCTTTATTGCAGATTAAACAGAGACCATTCCAACTTTCATTGGTATTGATGTCATTCATATTGTAAATGGGACAGAATGGAAGTGTGGACTGTATTCTGACTTATGCTGGGGCAAAGGCCTCAGAACCAAAAGACCAAACAATCGAAGCACGCTGGCCCTGAGCAGGTTGGCAGCTCACGACCTCAGAGTTAAGAGGCGAGACACAGGTGTTCCTACACCTCACCAGGGAAGGCCTCCCGGGTCAGACTAACCAGCCTCCTTCCCTCTTGCAGCAAGGGCCTGCTTAGCACTGATCCTAACACTCCCACCTCAACCTACTTGTGTTTCTCCTGTCAAGACACATTTTTGGCAAGACCTCAAAGACTTCTGGAGCTTCTGAGGGAGCCCTGTGCTGGGAGACCACGGCTGCTGGCCCCGCCGTGGGCTCCCAGGTGTGGCCCAGTACTGCTAAGTACCCAGTACTACATCTCACGCAAGGGGCAAGGCCTGCAAATGATCAGAAAATCTGAGGATGTCCACACTCCAGCAAGTTTGCTCATGTGCTCACTTTTCACCAAGCGGCCCAAGAGGCAGCAGGCTGAGAGCGAGAAAGAGACAGAGCCAGGCGGGGATGGGGGCCCTCTGGCGTTGGTACTTCCACTAGAGAAGCAACTGTGGTGGGAGCAGAGGGAGCAGGTAGGGCCCAGGCTTCCTACTCAGCCTCAGGGCACTAGGCTTCTTCCCCACACCTGCAGGGCGCAGGCCCCAGAAAGTCACTTGGCCAAGCTTCAGTGATCCAAGCCCCAGGGTGAGTTTAAGATCAAGTCCAAGATCAAAGCCCCCCATTATCACCCCATTATCCAATCAGCAGTGTGATTACATCCTCTCAATCTGAGGAAAAGGGTGGAGCTGACCACTTCCAGACAGAGGTGATGGTGCCCCTTGGCAGCCCCCAAGTGGACACAGCTCAGGTGACCTGTGACAGATGGCCAGCTGTGCCTACAGGCTAGACAGGTGGGTGGGGGCACCAGGAGTGAGCCACGGCCCAATGCCTTCGATGAGACTGTTCCATTGATCGTAGTCCTCCTTCAGGTCTGAATGGGAGAAAACATGAAGGTTAGGCAGAGCGTCAGGCTGGGACAGAGCGGCTCCCGTGGATCTAGCGGGCCGTCCCAGAGAGAGGGGCGCCGGGGAAACACGGGGACCAGGCGCAGTGCGTGTGATGGTGGAGACAGCAATGGTCACTATTCAGTGCATTTACGAATGACTGACTTCATCTATGACAACCCAATACTGAAAATAAGAGGACAATTCGTCCCGGGGATTGTGCTTAATGCTTCAAGTGCATTGATGCATTTAATTTCCACCACATCCCTACGCACTAAGAGAACTCTGTCAGCCGTACTTAGAGCGGAGGACACCAGGCTCAGGGAAGCTAGCCGAGCTGTCCAGGGTCGTTACAGCTGGGGAGAGATAAAATATTCACACCCAGAAACGCAGAGCAGATGCAAAATCTCCCAGGCTCCGCTTCCACTGCTGAGGAAGAGGAGGCCCTCGGGGCCGGCGCTGTAGCGCAGTGGGCTAAGCCTCCACCTGCGGTGCCGGCATCCCATATTGTGCTGGTTCAAGTCTCGGCTGCTCCTCTTCCGATCCAGCTCTCTGCTGGAAAAGCACTGGAGGATGGCCCAAGTCCTTGGGCCCCTGCACCCTCATGGGAGACCCAGAGGAAGCTCCTGGCTCCTGGTAGGCCCAGCTCCAGCTGTTGAGGCCATTTGGGGAATGAACCAGCAGACGGAAGACCTTTCTCTCTGTCTCTCCCTCTCTCTCTAAGTATCTCTCAAATAAATAAATAAAATCTTGAAGAAGAGGAAAAGGAAGAGAAAGAAGAAGAAGAAGAGGTCCCTCGGGCCGGAGTTGTGGTGTAGTGGGCTAAGCCGTCACCTGCAGTGCCAGCATCCCATGTGGGCACTGGTTTGAGTCCCAGCTGCTCCACTTCCAATCCAGCTCCCTGCTCTGTGCCTGGGAAAGCAGTAGAAGATGGCCCAAGTCCTTGGGACCCTGCACCCACGTGGGAGACCTGGAAGAAGCTCCTGGCTTCTCCCTGGCCCAGCCTAGGCGGTTGCGGCCATTTGGAGAGTGAACCAGTAGATAGAAACTCTCTCTCTCGCTCTCCCCCCCATGTGTAATGCTGCCTTTCAATTAAATAAAATAAATCTTAAAGAAAAAGAAAAAAGATGAGGTCCCTAGCACTCCGGTCTGTGGGAGCAGATCCAGTGTCTCCTTGGTGAAGGGCAGAACCACAGGGCCACAGCATCAGGTAGCCGCCCAGCACAGACCAGGCAGATGGGCCTAGTCACAAGGCAAGGACGACCCAGCAGGGTCCAAGTCCTTGGGCACAGCCGAGCAGGCAAATGGTGTCACAGCTCAACGCGAGCAGAACCCAGGGCAGAAGGGAGGGGCCACTCAGTTACCGCCAGATCCCCGCTCCTTGCCAAGCACCTGGCGTGGAGCGGAAACCTCTACCTTCCTAGAACTCCTCGTCCAGCAGGCAGCAATACATAACACAATCAGTTACAGAGGAGGCAAGAAGGGGTCAGATGGGAAAGCACAGGCAGATCAGGGACGCGCAGTGGCAGCTGGGGAAGTACAATGCTTTACAAAGGGTGGTCGGGTGGCCTCGCTGAGCAAGGGTTTAGCCAGGATTATTGTAGGAGAGGGGACAGCAGTGCAAAGGCCCTGAGGCAGAGGTGTGCCTGGAGCACTGCAGGCCCTCACAGGAACAGCAAAGCAGGCAAGGCAAGAGCAGCAGGAGCTGGAGGGCCACGTCACACAGGCTGGGCAGGGGGCAGGACTGAGGCGGGACTGAGGCCCAGGGGAGCCACTGAGCTTCTGAGCAGAGGGCGTCAGGACGGACTTCCTGAAGGGAGCACTCGGCTGCTGCACTGAGAAACAACTGTGCCGCGGTCAGGAGATGGAGGCGGGGTGGGGGTGGGGTACCTCCTGCAGGAATTTAGCTGTGGGGTACTGACAAGCGATTAGATTCCTTGTGTAGCTTGAAGGCGGAGCCGGAGCCGTGAGGATGTCCCAAGGGACCGGCGGGTGAGGGTGTGTGTGTGCGAGAGAGAGACAGAGACAGAACAGATGGGATTTGAGAGAGAGAGAAAGAACAGATGGGACTTAGATTCTGACCAAGTAACTGGAAGGATGGAGCTGAACGGAGAGGCTGCAGTTGCCATTAGCTTTCTTGGCAGTGTTGCATCCGTTAGATGTCCAGGTAGAGACGCTGAGTGGCAGCAGTGGGTCCTATAAATCCAGTGTTTGTGGGCCATCACACTGCAGATGCAAGCCAGGGAGTGGCCGGCACAGAAGTGGTATTTACAGCCATGAGAAGTAGAAAAGTAGGCCAGAGAGGGGCCAGTGCTGTGGACGGAGGGTTAGCCATCACTCGCGACGCCAGCATCCCACAGCAGCGTGCGGCTGAGAGTCTGGCTGCTTGGCTTCTGACCCAGCTCCCTGCTAATGCACCTGGAAGAGCAGCGGATGATGGCCAAGTGCTTGGGTCCCTGTCACCTCCGTGGGAGGCCCGGGCGGAGTCCCTGATTCCTGGCTTCAGCCTGGCCCAGCTCCCACCATCCTGGCCACGTGGGGAGTGAGGATCTCTGTCATTCTGGCTTTCAATAAACTAAATCTGAAAGAGGCCAGAGCGGAGCAGACATGGAGACAGCAGACCCCACAGTGCGGCTCTCCGAAGCAGAGGTGGCGCTTCCCAAAGGAGGGCACCATCCACTCGTGGGCAGCCACCGCGAGGGGCGAGGCGAGGGCCGAGGACTCCTGGACTCGGCACCGCGGCGGTCGCTGGGGCGGGGGACAATGGCAGCTTTCAGGGAGCCTGGCTGGAGTGGGTGTAAGGGAGAACAGGAAGGGACGGAGTAGGAAATTCCCTGAGCAGTTCTGCTGCTGCAGAGAACAGGGTAACCGGAGGGCACACTGAGGCCAAGAGAGATTTTTTTTTTTCTTAAAGAGAGACTTCATCATGAAATGAACCAGCAGGGGTGTGGTGAAGCGCAAGGGGCGCGTATCTGACTCGGCAGCTAAGACGCCCGCGTCCCACGCTGAGGTGCCTGGGTCCGCTTCTGGTCCAGCTTCCTGCTAACGTGCACCCTGCACCCTGAGAGGCAGCGGGTGATGGCTCAAGTACTTGGGTCCCTGCCATCCATATGGGGTCCTGGATGGAGTTCTTGGCATCTGGCTTTGACCTGGCCAGACTACTGCAGGCATCTGGGGAGTGAACCGGCAGATGGAAGATTCCTCTCTCTTCCTTTCAAATAAAAGTGCTGTTAAATAAATAAACAAGGTAAAGAGGGAAAGACAACTGGTGCAATCATGCCCACAGATGGCAGGATGAAGTCTGGCATGGGAACAGTAGGCTGGCCCGAGTCCCACACCTGGAGCGGAAGCTGCGTCTATGTAGGAAGGTGTGCGGTCTTTTTTCTTTTTTTTTTTTTTTTTAAGATTTGTTTTATTTTTATTTGAAAGGCAGAGTTACAGAGAAAGGGAGGGAGGGAGAGAGAGATCTTCTCTCCACTGGCTCACTTTCCAAATGGTGGCTACAGGGCTAGGCCAGGCCAAAGCCAGGAACCCAGAACTCCATGCGGGCCTCCCATGTGGGCAGTAGGGGACCATGCCCTCATGCCATCTTCCACTGCTTTCCTAGGTGCATTGGCAGGGAGCTGGATCAGAAGCTGAGCTGCTGGGACTCGAACTAGCGTTCCCAAGGGCTGCACTGCAGGCAGCAGCCCCAAGGTGCAGTCTTTTTTTTTTTTTTTTTTTTAAGACTTATTTACTTATTTGAAAGGGAGAGTTACAGAGAGGCAGAAAGGAGAGACAGATTGGTTTGCTGCCATGGCTGTGGCTGGGTTCTGGGCCAGCCAAATCCAGGAGCCTGGCACTCCACCTGGGTCTCCCACGTGGGTGCAGGGGCCTAGGCACTTGCGCCATCCTCTGCTGCTTTCTCAGCCTTGTCAGCAGGGAGCTGGATTGGAAGCGAAGCAGAGCAGCCGGGACTCAGAACTGGCACCCGTGTGGGATGCTGGCATCACAGGCAGCTTAATCCGCTTCGCCACAACGCCGGCCCTGGCCTCGGGTACACAGTCTCGAGGGAGTGAGTGGTGAAGTGGGAGGCAGAATTAAGCAGCTGAGGGAAGAGGGCTCAGAGGTCAGAGGAGGAGGGAGGGGAGATGGCGGGGGGTGGGGTGGGGGTGGTTTCAGGGGTGGAGGCAGCAGCTGCGCGCTGCTGTGAAGGTGGCACGGGTCCTCTCACAGCTCTCTGGGATTTTCCAGAGAGGTTCAGCCGGGCCGCCGGCAGCTGATTTTTGTTTCCCAGGTGACTGCACGATGTGGCCACACAGAGGCCTCCTTGTCGTTGTGAGACGTCAGCCTGAGAGCTGGGGCCTCTTTCAGACCCTGTCCGATGTCCCACCACCTGGATTACTGCCCGCGCCGCCCACCTGAGCTGTCCACCTGCACTGCCGCCCGACCGCAAACACAAGTCCAGTCGTGACGCTCTCCTGCCTGGAACCCACCGAGGGCGCCCCACAGCCTGGAGGATAAAACCAAACTTCCCTCAGCACCCGCATGGGCCTCCACCTCTGCCGTCTGCTCACTTCTCCGCCTTCGTCCGTAAGTCACTCTCTTGAGGTGGGCGCAGAGGATTAAGCCACCGCCCGTGACACCAGCATCCCAAATCTGAGTGCTGCTTCAAGGCCTGGCTGCTCCGCCTGGACCCAGCTCCTTGTTAATGCACCTGGGAGGCGGTGGATGACAGCTGAAGGACCTGGGCCCCTGCCACCCGGGAGGGAGACCCAGATGGAGCTCTAAGCTCCTGGCTTCAGCCTGGCCCAGCCCCAGCTGTTGCAGCCATTTGGGGAGTGAAGCAGAGGATGCAAGATCTCTCTCTCTCTCTTTCAAATAAATAAATGAATCTTAAAGTCACTCTCCTGAGAGCCAGGCTGCAGAACCTGTTCCCCAAGGCACCTGGGCCGCCCAGCCGTGAGCCTTCTCCTCACTGTGAAGATGAAAGGCAAGCACCGCGGTGCGCAGGACACCTTCCTCCCGCCCTTCTCCCTCCCCTCACGGTGGGAGCCGGTCCTGGGTCTCCCCAGTGCTGGGTGCAGACTGCGCCATCATAGTCACCGATGGACAGCACTGCGCAGCGGCTCGGCGCGTGGGCTTCGCAGCTGGACGGCCTGGCTCGCATAGTGGCTTTGCCACTTAACACCCAGAGAACCCTGAACAAATTACCCAAATTTTCTAAGCTGCCGTGTCCTCATCTGCCCAGCAGAGTTAGTAACAAGGGTCCCTCCTGGGAAGGGCTGTCTTCAGACCCTTACTCCAGAACGCAGCTGCAATGCTCAAGCACCGGGCACACACGAGTCCTCAGCGAGCGGCCAACCGTCAGAGCCGCCTGCCTCCCTCCATCGCCGCTTCTGTGGTCGCCAGCGCTGGGCACCTCAGCTCACAGGCGCTGCCCCTAAAGCGAGCCTGCTCATGCCTTGTTCCCCATCGTCTCTGCTCTTAGCCCTTATAATGCCATGGTGCTCGCGAGGAACAGGGAGAGTGGGTGGGAGAACGGGACACTGACACGGGGATCCCTTCCCCTGCCAGGGTCTCTGTTATCAGCCCTGAAGTCTCTAAACCCAATTGCTGACAGCTGGCTGGATGAAACGACAGGCATAAATACAAACACGAAATCTAGGTTCAAAAGGTCACTGCACTAAATAAAAGGATATACGTTTTAAAAGCAAACTCAGTCCAAACCAGACTGCTTGTGCACTTATGGGAAAGGGGGTGCACTCGGGTCATCCAGCCAGACATCCAGTGTCCAGGGCACAGGAGCGACAGTCCCACTGGCCCGGGCTCTGGTCAGGCCCTTCCTAGCACGTCACACGCAAGCCAGGACTGCACACTTTAAAAGGGCGCTGATGAGCAGCGCATCCAAGGGGCATGGGTGCCGAATGGCAAACTAGAGAATTAGACAGGGTACAGTGGTGGTGCCACGGACACTGAGCTGAACAGAGAAATCTTGGAGGACATCACAGGTGTCTTCTCGGGGGATAACCCCACAAATGGAGAGGGGCTAGTCTCAGGTCTCGCCACTACCCTGGAGTTAGGTCAAACCTTAGAAATACGGGCAAGCCTGGCTCCCTTCGGATGGCAAGTGCTGCCCAGGGCCCAGCCTCAGGTAGACAATGGACCCTCCTGTGTCCTGACTGTCGCAGAAAGGGGCTTGTGACCTGGAGAGCAGCAGGCCTCGGCTGCACGGCGGCTACCGTGTGTGTGGCCAGCAGGGTGCAGCTGATGCGACCGCCTTTCCCCTCTTGTGAATCTGGCCTGGAAATCATGTTCACGCGGCTGCGAGCAGTGGGAGCTGAAGACGCGGAGGCTACAAGGCGAAGAGAGCAAGCCTCAGCGGCTCGGGCCCGGTGAAGTCATGTGGAGCAGAAACTCAATGAGCAGATCCCCTCCGCGAGGAGAGAGCACAGTGAGAGGAAGGAGACACAGACTGAGCCCGCGAGACAGACCGGGAGATTGGCTCTGCACGTTGTGACTTCGGCTCCTAAAACTCTACCACTTCCTTAGGCCAGCTGCACTCTCATCAACTCCCCTTTGCACTCAAAGCAAATTGGTGAACTTCCAGTCTTTGCCATTCAAGCTTCCAGGGCTGCAGCGGACTTGACAGCGATGCGGGGAAGACACAGGCGCCGCCTCCTCCGGGTGGAGGCTGGACAGAGACCTCTAAAGACCTCGCCATTCATCCAGCCTGTGATTTTTTTCTTAAAAAGATTTATATAGAGAGAGGGAGAGACAGGGAAAGAGGGAGAGACAGAGAGAGATCTCTCATCTGCTGGTTCACTCCCCAAACGCCTGTGACAGTCAGGGCTGGTAGAGGAGCCTGGTTCTCTACCCAGGTCCCTCCCATAGGAGGTACTTGAGTCATTACCCGCTGCCTTCCCAGGGTGTATCAGCAGGAAGCTGGACGGGAAGCGGAGCAGCCAGGACTGGAACTGGTGATCTGATATGGGATGTGGGCCTCCTAAGCAGTGGCTTAACCTGTTGTGCCACAACGCCCACCCCTGGTCTGTGGTTTCTGACAACAGTTACAACCCACCAAGGGTTTCTTTCTTTTTTTTTTTTTTTTTGACAGGCAGAGTGGACAGTGAGAGAGAGAGACAGAGAGAAAGGTCTTTCCTTTGCCGTTGGTTCACCCTCCAATGGCCGCCGCGGTCGGCGCACCGTGCTGATCCGATGGCAGGAGCCAGGAGCCAGGTGCTTTTCCTGGTCTCCCATGGGGTGCAGGGCCCAAGCACCTGGGCCATCCTCCACTGCACTCCCTGGCCACAGCAGAGAGCTGGCCTGGAAGAGGGGCAACCGGGACAGAATCCGGCACCCCGACCGGGACTAGAACCCGGTGTGCCGGCGCCGCTAGGCGGAGGATTAGCCTGGTGAGCCGTGGCGCCGGCCCCACCAAGGGTTTCTTTAAAGCACTTCCATAGATTTAGCTCAGGTATCATCAGGAGCTCCCCCACAATTCAGACACAGTGAATGCTGATAAGTTTGGATTAGGACAGAGATAGCAGAGCGGAGAGGTAAGGAAACCAAGGCTCAGGGAGGCCAAGGTCATTGACACAGTAAGAGAGCAAGATCTCCAAACTCTGTCAAGTGCTTTTCCTATAACTCCATTAACTCTCTCCTTCATGCTTGTTTTCCATACGCCGTAAAGTTTCCTGGTTCCCAGCTGTGTCAGTATAGACCACTGGGCTGCAGGGGAATCCAAGGGACCCACTGGCTGGCTGCCCCAGGGGCCCCAGGGCGCTCCTTACCCAGGTGCTTCTGCAGGAAGGCCAACATGGCGTGCACCATAGTCTCCTGACCTTCGTAGGGGTCCAGGCTCCCACGGGTGTGGCTGGATAAGTATTTAACAAGCAAGTTGCCAGTCACAAAAGCAAAGTCAGTTTGACTGTGATGAACAGAACCACTAGAAGAGAAGAAAAACAACGGCAGGGACCTGAAGGTGAGGCACACGGGCATCTGTCATGCGCCTGTATGTCCAAGGGGCTCCCCACGCATCATCACACTTGCTCTTCACAGCAACCTCGTAAGGGGAGTGTTTTCCTCCTTAACAGAATCCGAGGAGAGAAACGGCCTGCCCAGAGTCACGCAGGAGGGAGGGCATGGCGCGAGGATTAGAACCCAGGTGTGCATGGTGTCAAAGCTGACTCAACCCCTAGCACAATGCCTCACAGTACAGGGAAAAGGCGCAGGGACGGGGCACGGGGCGAGGCCTCCAGCACCTGCCATTCCTCGGTCACTATAATCTCCCACCCTGTGGCTTTTCCTGGGGGTGACTTCCAAATATTCATAAAACCCACAAGCCCCTTCTTCAGCGGTGCACACAGAGTAACAGGAAAGAGGAGCTCCTGGCCTTCAGCAGTGGAAACTCGTTCTGCCTAGGGCCATTTAGATTTTTTATAACATCATCTGCAGGCCATACAAAATTATCAACTTGCAAATGTGCCTGCTGTTTGAATTTCGAGTCCCACCTGAGGTTGCCCTGGCAGGGCCAGATCACGTGATTTCGGCCTGTGGGCCGGCCGTCCCCCACCCCAATAGGTGCATTTGTAAAAGGGAGTTCTGGATTAGAACTTAAGTCCTCTGGCATGAAATACATGTAGCTCCCAGGTGAAACCCTCTCTTAATTTATGAGTCAATTCAGTGAGGTTGGAAAAGTCTAAACACCAAAGTATTTGTCTGACGTCATGCAGAAAAACAGGTTTTTTTTAAAAAATGCGTTATTCGAGGCCCACCAGATAGGATACAGCAGGATGTATCAGAGTTGTGGGTCCTGTGCGCAGCCAGCAGGGAGCCCCTCGTGTGCTGCTTGTCAAAGGCTCTCATGTCCCTTCCCAACAGGTGCCACTGTCCCGAGTATTACCGGGGCAACCTTCCAGTCCTCCACCGCCAAGAAATCAAAACGACAGGAGAGGGAAGAGAGCTGGGGCCAAGGTGAACCATGGAAGATACTGCCCACTGAGCAGAGCCCTGGTGCTCAAGGCCTTTGGCTCTGGCCTTCTAACACCTGTGCGACTCCAAGGGTCCGTGGCGCACCGGCACTCAGGGTTGAAACAGGGCCTGGAGTCCTCGAAGCATGTGTGTGGCTGCGAGGCCCCAGTGCAGGTGGCAGCAAGCTGGGGTGACTCAGCCCTCCCCCCTCCCCATAGAGTCAGCATTGGAAAGTCACGGAAATTCTTTTTCTTCCCCTCTCTGAAAAATGGTTCCCAGAAGAAAACCAATTGCTGGTGCCAGTGATGGAGGTGAAGGTGCTGTGGTTTCTCAGCCAGAACAGAGGTGGTTTATGGAAGACAGCACACAGGGAGTTCTGTCTCGGACTTCGGTGTGTATACAGCTCTCTAGAAATCTCTCTGGTGAATGTCAAAGGTCTACTACATCCGCACTCTCCAAAAAAAAACCCCTCATAAAATCCCCCAATGAGGGCCCTACCCACACTCCGGCCCTTCCCTCCCCACCACACCATCCCACAGCACCCATTTCCAGACAGCACCAGGCGAGTCCCGTCACAGTCACAAACTACTGCAGAAGTCACTCTACGTGGCGCTAAGTGGACAAGGGGACGGATATGAAATTCCAAGGGAATTAACACTGGACATTCGGGAAGTATCCAGGTATTCTACCAATGGACAGAAAGTTCTGGGCAACCTGGGAGAAACGAAGGGAGCCACAGCTGAGTGGAAAGCGGGGGCCACACCGGGACCGGGACCGGGGGGTTACTCACAGCACAGTTATGATCCTGGACTGTTCGTGCTGGGCACATATCTTCTTCATCAAGTTGATACTCTCCACTGTCTGGAATTTCTCAGTGTTGATAAAGAACACAGGGCCCCGGGCCTGTGGGTAAAGGTCTCGTTCCAGGGGGAACATCCACGCGTCCAGGGCCACAGCACACCTGGAACAGGACGAGACGTCCGGGACTGCCACGCAGAACTGCAGGCAGGAACAGGGAGGGCGGAGGGGAGGGCTGGAGCTCTTCCCTCCGCCCTGAGCTGCAGGCTCAGAAAGCCCAGCAGGGGGTGCCAGGGCCCACATCCTACAGGCAGGCTAGGGATGCTTCTACCTGCCTCCAGAGTCTAACCTCTCTGAGCACAAGGGTCAGGTCTCCTGCATCGACTCTCGCGTGGCTGACTTGAGCTCCTCAGAACGGTGCTTCACCCCTCTGATCAGTCACCACCAGCCTTCACTGAGTGCCGGACACGAGCTGGCCCTGTGCTTCTGGTACTCAGATAAATGACACAGTCCTTGCTCTCAAGGGGCTCTGAGTCCAGCAGGGGACAGTGGATGAACAGCTCCGTGCCCTGAGTGCGAGACAGGCTACGAGCCCAGAGCACAGGTAGCAGGGAAGTTCTCTTGGTGCCAAGAGTAGAAGTCTCCCACCTAAGGCAAGGTTACAGCTGGAAGACTGAGCCACCCTGCCCCCAGTCTCCTCCGTCTCAATACTGGACAATCCTACAAGTGATGGACAAACCCATCGCCAAGTCCTGAACGCTGAAACACATCCTAACTCCATTCACCCTGACCCTCACTCTAACGAGCCCCCAGTTCTCAGTCCTGTCCTGCTCCAGTGCCCCCTCACACAGTAGCTGGAGGGCTCTTTTAAAATGTAAATAAGATTTTTTTTTCCCCTTCTGCTTAAAATCCTTCAGTGGTCTCCTATCGTGCTTAGAATGAAACCTAAGCCTCTTTATTCTGGCCAATAGACTCTGGGCTCTGGACCCTGCTTATCACTGTCGTCTTCAATCTCTTCCCCGTGGCTTACTACCCTCTCACACCCACACAGCAGGCTCCCGCGGGCCTCAGGGCCTTTGTACCAGCTATTCCTGCCGGCTTGCGTGATCTTCCTCCAGATCAGGGGTGGGGAACCTTTTCTTTTTGCAAGGGTCATTCGGATATTTATAACATCATTTGCAGGCCATACAAAATTATCAAGTTAAAAATTAGCCTGCTGGGACATAACAGGTTAAGCCTCCACCTGTGGCACCGGTATCCCATATGGGCGCTGGTTTGTGTCCCAGCTGCTCTTCTTCCGATCTAACTCTGCTTATAGCCTGGGAAAGCAGTGGAAGATGGCCCAAGTGTTTGGGCCCCTGCACCCACATGGGAAACCTGGAGGAGGCTCCTGGCTCCTGGCTTCAGATCAGCTCAGCTCCAGCTGTTGCGGCCATTTGGGGAGTGAACCAGCGGATGGAAGACCTCTCTCTCTTTCCCTCTCTCTGTCTGTAACTCTGCCTCTCAAATAAATCAATAAATCTTTTAGAAAAAAAATAGCCTGCTGCAGACTTATTGGATTGTGGGTCACCCCCGCTGCTGCCTTGGCAGGGCCGGGTAAGGCCCCCTGGCTGGGCGATCCCCACCCCTGCCCTAGGCCCCTGCCTCTGCAGTCTTGGTTTGTGCGACTCTCTTGGGGAGGTGTCCAAGCATTTTTATTTTCTTCACTGCACTTGGGTGCTGCGATTGCATTTGTTAGCTTCTTTTGTGGCCTGGCTCCTCCCACAATAACATAACTCCATGAAATCAGAAACCTTGTTGACCCCTGAATCCCCCCACAAGGCTGCCTAGAACACAAACCTCGTGTAACAAATTCTTGCTGAACGAGTGCATGGAGCAAGGAGCCAACAGCGACAGCATCACCTGGAAACTCACCGAAACTGAGTCTCCTTGGCTAGCGCCAGGACAGCCGTGGCCCCTCCAAACGAGTGTCCCATCACGGCCACCCGGCTCGGGTCGATGCTGCCCTGAGGAGAGCACAGAGTCAGAAAGTCGGGACTGCTTTGTTGGGAATTCCTCAGGGCCAAGAGGGAGACACAGTGAGGCAATGGGGCTGGAGGACAACACAGCGGCCGAGCCTCCAACACCACCCAGTAAGAACCCTGGCCCAACCCTGGGCAGAAGAGCGTGCCCCAGGCGGGAGTTCTGAGAGCCCCGCTTCTCACCTTTATTCTTGTACTCTCACCACCTGCACCGGGGCAGGCATCCAAGTGTCTACGTGTGAATGCGTGGACAGAAACTGTCAGATTCCATCCCCCCCGACGAGCCCAAGAGCCCGCCGACAGTAAGGGCTTGCTCCACACTCCAGAGCTCCCGGCCTAGAAGCTGCTCCCAGCGGTCGCCCACCCTGGGGACGAGATGGGGAGCTCCTTAGAACCTAAGGACTGCCTGTGCAGAAACTACCTTGGGCCCCACTTCCTCTTTAGGCATCTGTCCTGATTTTTGCCAGCAGTCCCACGAAGGGGAAATGAGTCTGCTCACTCGAACATGCTCTGTGCTATCTATTTTGGGTTGTCCCTAGAAGCCATCAGGGCCTGGTTATATAAAAAGCCACCGCAGCTGCCTGCAGAGGGGCTTGGGAAATCTCACAGGGCTGTGGTGGCCAGCTGCTCTGAGGCTGTGCTCCCCCAGTTTCCATCCCAAGGCTTCGGACCTCACTTCTCCCCTTTGCCCAGGACCTTGAGATCCGTAAGTCGGCTGGACGGCTCCTTCAGCTTTCATGTATTCGTAGACCTCTAAAATCAGAAGTAGCCACAAGTCTCCACCTTCTCCTTTCTCTTCCACTGTTGTAACCTTCCTACCCTCAAACAGGCTGCAGCGTCTCACAGGTCCTCCCAGAGACTGCTTCTGCATACGCAGGTAAGCATGCACACAAACCTCCACGCTCTGTATACACTGTGAACTTCAGGCCCGCAAGTGAAAGAGGGCGGAACTGTAAGACAAAAGAAGCCTGGATCCCTGAGTCACCCCAGCACAGGAGCGCCCTGTGGGCTTTATGGGGGAGAGAAACCAATTTCTACTGTGTCAAAGCCACTGAGATAGGGGTTTATGTGGTAGCAGGTAGCATCATCCAAGCGAACACATCCACTGCTCTAGAGTCTGTTAGTGTCACCAGTGCTCTTACTGGTGAGCACTTAGGTCACCACCATTCTTTTGCTGTTATAAATGAGACTGGAGGGCTAACCCTGCACGTGCATCATGCTGCGTGTGTGCACGTGTTACAGGATAAATGCCCAGAACTGGAAATCACTGGGTCAAAGCGTTCGTGCCGCTGACAGCCATTGCCAAACACCCTCCACGGGGCAACGTGCGCCCCTGCTGGCCGTGCCGGAGAACAGTGTTTCCCTACAGCTTTGTCAACGAGGAAGTGATCTCAGCCCGACAGGTGAAAATGTAGTCAGCTTCTTCATTCTGTATTTCCTGCAAAAGGCTGTCTCTTACCTAACCCCACTGGACTGTGGTCGGCCTTCCTCCCTGTCTCAGGCTCACAGGTACATAAGTCTGGACCTCAGCGCCCAGGGCCCCTACTTGTCCCATGGGGACGCCAAGCAGCTGGTCCAGCATCTAGATCCCAGGTCCTGCCTCGTCACTGGCCACCCAGGCAGATGCTTCTCCCTGGAGGACATTACCAAAGCCTTTGAAAGATTTTCTAAAGGAGCTTTGGGGTTCACAGTGCAGGCTTTAGGTAAAACAGGCCCAGTTGCAAGTTCGACTCTATCATTTAGCTTGGTAATCCGGGTAGCTACTTAGCCTTTTTGATCCTTGGTTCCTTTCTCTATAAAGAGGTCATAGTGCTTACTTCATACATTCGTTTGAGGTGTTCTTATTGTAAGTATTCATAATGTAGTAACGTTATTGTTAACAGACGTATGTATGTATACACACACACACACACACACACCCATACCCATGAACACAAAGTTCATGGAAAACGTACATTATGAAAAAAACTATGTATGGATTTCAAATTTTTTGCACCACTTCCCATGAGGGTACTTCATATACCATTCTCACTCAATGGTAATGAAATCAATTACATGGCTATTAACACGCATGCCACAGAAAAGTATTAACTGTAAGAGAATATATTCATACTGCGTGGCTATGAGAAAAAGGCTATGAGACAGCTTATATTAAATGATAATAATATTATTAAAAGTATACACATATATGTTAATTCACTTTAAAAGAACTGGTGAGACAAACATTAAAATGTCAAAAAAACTGTTTCTTTTTTCTTCATGCCTTCGTGCGATGTCCTGGTTCTCTGAATAGAGACTGAACTATATTTGAAGTTAGGGGGAAAAAGATTGGATGGAGACGGGGGTGGAGTGTGTACCTTCTCTAGCCAATTCCAAGCCGCTATGGTTTCATATCCTCACGGGAGGGTTCCCGGGATTCTCCCCAAGGAAGGAATTAGCTTGCAGTAGGCACCGGTGTTGCTCCACAGCTCTGCCTTTGGGGAACAAACCACCTCACGCCTGTCCACGTGGCCCAGGTGGCCTGACAAGCCCACTGCTCAGCTTTCCCTGACTGCCACATACACAGGCCAAGGAGTGTGCGGCAGCTAAGTGCCAGCACAGTGCCTGGTCCAGGAGCGGCACGGGACCCACGCAGGCCACAGCCTTCCCAGACTAGTGGAAGCTAAGAGTCTCCTTCCTTGACATCTGCCCCTGTGAGTTGAGACACAGGCCTGGACTGGCAGCAACCATCTAAGAAAGTCTGGTGGAAATGAAGCCCACACACGCAGAGAGAAATTAGCCAGGGAAGGGAGAGAAGGGTGCCATGGCTTTGATGAGCGCCCCTGACACTCTGGATCCAGTCCCCCGGCCTAAAGTCTGCCTTCTAGTTATGAGCCAATGTGTTCTCTTTCCGTTTAAGCTCATCAGTGGGGTTTCTGGCACTTGCAACCAAGAAAGTCCTGATGAACACGTGATGAACACGTGAACTCTGAGTCATGCCCCCGCTGCCTTACCCTCAAGGTCTTCAGATCCAAACCTCCAGGCAAGATGTTGTCGATGGGCTGGCCAGCAGCAACTTCTTGCAGGATCCTCAGCACCCGCACACACTCCCTCGCCCGCTGATGCACCTGTAGCAAAAACAGGCCCGGAGGGAGTTGGAACACTCCACAGCTATCCAGCGAGAATCCCACTGACCTACGGAGCCAGGGGAGAGTGTGGGGACAGTCTGCCCATGCATGTCGCAGCAGGCGCTGTGTGCCCCATGTCCTGAGGGGGGCTCAGCTCCCTCGCGGCTCACATGAGCACTGCCTGGCGGCACAACGAAGCCAGCCCTGTTGTTCAGACTCTACCTGCCTACCCACACAGTTATCAGGAGGATTAGACGAGTTGCTGTATATGGAAACAAAAGGAATTGGGAGTGTTCTCATTAGCCACCCAGCACTGGAGTCTGCTCACCCATCTATAACACACATCTGCTATTCTTATGTGCTGGGCACTCAGCTGCCACCCCCTTGTTCTCTTTGCCTTCAAGGACTGTCCCTGGTTCCAAATCTAATCGTGGATTTCTGGTGGGAATTTCCCATTTGGGTTCTCTCTCTACACGGGGAACCCCTTTCTAGGATTTTGCAAACTGCAAAAGAAAGGAGACTGTCTCAGCTTCCATTATTCTGGGAAGGCTGTGGCCCTACATGTAAACTGCACATGAGACAAACCACAGAGAGGCAGGGGTGAGAAGCCGATGCACTGAGTCTGCTTCCAGGGTCCTGCTCTCCCTGCAGTCTCCCCACACAGCCAGTCAGCCCCTTCGCAGCCTCAGCAAGCTGCAGTCGGGCTTCTGCCACTGGCAATTTCAAGCATCCTGATAAAGATCGCACTGCTTCCCGCTGGTGCGGCAATTCAAACCTTCCATGACTGAGGTCTCGAGAGCCAGGCTGGCTCCAAGTCTTGCTCAGTGAGTCCAGGCAGGCAGGCTGGCTCATGAACTCCCTCCTCCCAGCTGGCACAGCCTACCTGGGGATTCCGAACATGGAACTCCTTCTCTCCTTCCTCGATTCGACGGAAGGGGATCCATTCCTCCTCTAGCAACTTGTTGGTGGGCTGGGTCTCCTCGGGGGCCTGCTTACAGAAATAGGTGGTCGCAGCCGACTGGTCCCTGAAACACACGTGACATCAGGAGCAAGCCAAGGCCTCTCCTGACTCTCCTTCCCCACTTCACCAACTCCTCCCTTTCAGCCAAGACACTTGGGATCACCCTTTGTAGTAAGGAAGGACATCAGGACGGGCAGAGCAAAGTAGAAGAATCAAGGATTTCTGAGACAGATTTGGGTTTGAACCACAACTCAGCTGTGTCACTTTGGGCAAGTTACTCAAATCCTCGAACCTCGGTTTTCTCCTCTTTAAAATGAATATAATACCTGCCTGGAGTGGTTGTTGGGAAGATCAGAAATAATACACTGAGGGGCTGGCACTGGGGCACAGCAGGTTAAGCTGCCATCTGCAGCACCAGCATCCCAAATGGGCACCAGGTTCTAGTCCCGGTTGCCCCTCTTCCAGGCCAGCTCTCTGCTGTGGCCAGGGAGGGCAGTGGAGGATGGCCCAAGTCCTTGGGCCCTGCACCCACATGGGAGACCAGGAGGAAGCACCTGGCTCCTGGCTTTGGATCGGTGCAGTGCTAGCTGTAGTGGCCATTTGGGGAGTGAACCAAAGGAAGGAAGACCTTTCTCTCTGTGTCTCTCTCTCACTGTCTATGACTCTGTCAAATTAAAAAAAAAAAAAAAAAAGGAAAGCACTGATAGGGCCTAGCCTTCCTCCTAGCTCCCTGCAGGCACCTGGCCCACCTGGCTCCTCATGACTGCACCTCTCACCTGTGCTCTGGTAAAGCGACCACGAAGCCATGGGAGGCCAGCTCCATGCAGAAGGCGGAATACAACGTCCTAGAGATCCAGAACAAGGGGGGGGATCAGAAGAATGGCCCAGTCTTTGCCCCCATTCTAGCCGCGCTCCGGTGGCCGCTCAGCAGACCGGAGGGAGGTTTCCCATGGGGCGGCCTTCGCCGGTGCCCTCTCCGGCTGGCGCAGCTCTTCTCCCACCAGGCTCCTCCCTGAGAAAGGATCTGCAACTCAGCCTGCAGGTCCTCCCAGCCCCACCAAGAGTCAGTCCAGCACCATCCCCCAAATAGACTTTGGCTACTTCTGTTTCATTTTTATTGCCTATATATGGTATGTCTCCCGAATTAGGTGCTAAGTTCATTGAGGATGGTATTCATATGGGATCATCCATAAAGAAATATTCTGATATTCATTTAATGTGCAACTCTTCTGGGATTTCATTTTTATTTATGTATTTTTATTTGAGAGGCAGACAGAGACATACCCTAAATGTCTCCAACAACCCTGATTGGGCCGGGCCAAAGCTGGGAGCCAGGAACTGAATCCAGGTCTCCCATGAAGGTGGCAGGGACCCCACATACTTGAACCATCACCTGCTGTCTCCTAGGGTGTGAGTCTGCAGGAAGCGAGAACCAGGAGCTGATCTGGGATTTGAACCCAAGCTCTATAATATGGGATGCAGATGCCGCGAGCGACATCACACCTGCTGCACTGAACGCCTACCCTGTCATCTGTGACTTAGCAGTGGATTTTCTGTGGGTCCTCCAGCTTCCCTGGAAAAGAGATATGGCAGATGCTGCTGATGGCCTACTCCAACACCTACAAAGACAGGGAAAACCCTTCCCTCCTTAATAATAGCATCGATTTTTGGTTGGTAGCACTGTCATGCCATCAAAATGTTACGTTTCCCAGCCTCCCTGCAGCCAGGTTTGTCTGTGTGGTGAGTTCTAGTCTGACATGGTCCAACAGAAACACAATGCTGCCCCCAAAAATAATCAAAAATTTTCTCGTCAATTGATTTTAAAATTAAAAAGAGACAAACGAGGGCCGGTGTGTGGCGCAGTGGGCTAAGCCACCGCCTGCAGCGCCAGCACTGCATATGGCCAGGTTTCCTCTAGAGCTACGGCAATCAGGACACGAGTTCTCTGCCGTAGGGGCCAGCGTTGTGGTGCAGAGGGTTAAGCCACAGCCTGTGATGCCGGCACCCCATATGAACACTGGTTCAAGTCCCAGATGCTCTGCTTCCAATCCAGCTCCCTGCTAATGCACCTGAGAAAGCAGCAGAAGATGGCCCAAGTACCTGGGCCCCTGATCCGTGTGCAAGACAGCCAGGAGTGAACAGCAGATGGAAGACCTTTCTCTCTCTCTAATTCTGCCTTTCAAATAAGTCTTTTTTTAAACAAAGAAATGAATGAATGAACTTTAATAATAGATTTTAATCCACTGCAAATAAAATACTATAATTTCCACATATAACCGAACATTTTTAATTAATGGAATCTTTTGTTATCTATATTAAAGTACTTATTTGAGAGGCAGAGAGAGACAGCATTCCAACCTGCAGCCTGCAACGCCGGGGCTGGGCTGGGCTGAAGCTGGGACTCCCCCGGCGGGGCAGGAACCCGGTTCCTTGAGCCATCACCACCGTTCCCAGGGTGCAGATTAGTGAGAAGCTGAAGTCAGGAGCGAGCCACACACTGGCCCAGGCACTCCAGCACGGGACGCGGGCACCTAACCAGTGTCTTAGCCACAGGCCAAGCACTCACCCCGAGAACGCTCCTTTTAAGATTTCCTGAAAGTTCTATGTAACATGACGATTATAACTCATCGGCTAGAGCTACTCTACTATCGCAGCTTCTGGCTGCATGTGATTATCAAACACCTGAAACGTGGCTGGTCCAGCCTGAGGTAGGCCACCAGTGTAAAACATGCTCCGACTTCAAAGACTTCAGATTTTTAAAAGGACTTACATTGAGTTCCTGGCTCCAGGCTTTGGCTCCAGCAGGGGCCTGTTGTGATGAGCAAATGGGAGTGCATACTCTGTCTCAAATAACTAAATAAAATTAAAAACAAAGCAAAAACAAATGGACAGTGCTCCCTTCTTATTGCCTGGAATGCAGATGTGGTGGCTAGAACCAAACAGCCACCTTGGGTCATGAGACACCCTAGAAATGGAAGCCACACGTGGCAGAGCTGGATTCTACAAGAAGTCTGGGATTCTGATACCTTCATGAAACTGTTGTCTACCTCCAGCCTTCCTTCCTCTGAGAGCAATAAAATCAATTATTTTTAACTCTATTAGGGTTTTTGGCTAAACACAACTTGCCCAAAATCTAAATGATACAAGAAGGCCAGTTTAGGTTTCTTTTCACCTTCTCCCACTTTTCTGAGGGAGGCACTGTCGGGACCTAAGAGCCAGAGAAATCTTCCATCCCTTCCCAATTCAAACTGCGTAACTCTGGGCAAGTCTGCCACTCGGAGCCTGCCGGCTGTGGAGCACACATCGCCGTCTGCCTGCTTCACGGGACTGCACAGGCACCAAATGAGAACATGGCACGTGACACGTGACTAGGCAGCATTTGACTGCACACAGGACGGGAAGCCAAAGGCCTCTGATCCCCGGGAGGGACTGCGGAGCCCAAGTTCACCACAGAGGCAACAACAGGAAGCAGCGCCCCGACCCTCCCTGCTCTTTTTCTCAGAGCTTCACTCTGGTTAACAGATTGTCTGTGACGGACTCACCCCGGCCCTGAGGGCTAAAGCCTCAGTGCAGATTCTCAGACCAACAGGGCACCTCCAGGGGGTGGCCCTGCGGCGCAGCAGTGGAGCCGCTGCTGGGATGCCTGGAGCCGGGGCGAGCCCCAGGTCTTCCACTTTCAGCCCAGCACCCTGCTAATGCGCGCGGAAGGCTGCAGGTGACAGGCCAGGTACCCAGGCTCCTGACACCCACGTGGGAGAGCTGGATGGAGTCCCTGGTTCCTGGTTCCACCTGGCCCAGCCCCAACTACTACAGGCAGATGGAAGATGGGTTTCTCTCTTTCTCTGTCACCCTTTCAAAAGCAAAAATAAATAAAAGCCTAAAAAAGTCACCTCCAAAGTCATGTGCTCATTAATCTTTCTATAAAAGATCTCTGGGCTTAGGAGGGGATGCTTCTCAGCTTCTTTTCCCTGATAGACTACAATATTCCTGAAGGCAGGGCCTCCCTCTAATCCACCACTGAGTGCCTGCCCGTGGCACAGGCCTGGCACAAAGCCTTCAGCCATGCCCAGCCCGAGAGGCAGCAGGTGATGGCTCAAGTAGTTAGGATGCTGCCACCCACATGGGAGACCCAGCAGAGTTCTCTGCTCCTGCCTTTGGCCTTGGCCAAGTCCCAGCTATTGCAGGCATTTGGGGAATGAACCAGCAATGGGAGCCCTGTCTGTCTCTGCCTTTTAAATAAACTTTTTAAAAAATGAATTAAAAAAAAAAGTTTCAAGAAGAAAAAAGAAAAAAAGCAATCTACTTCCCTCTCCACATCCACTGTGCACTACTTGCTGCGGGCTAGAGTTTGTGAGTCTGCACTGCAGCCCCTCTAGGAGCTGTGCATCCTTGACCTGTTTATCTCTAATGTTCCACCTTGCTCTCATGTCAAGGGGCCGGCAGAGAGCAGGCGCTCAACACGCCTGCTGAATCATGAAAACTCAGCAAAACACAGCCCTCCAGCCATTCAGGAAATATGAAAGTTCTTGGGAAATAGAGTTCAAAGTTTATTTTGCTGTAAAAATTTTTGAAATCCATGCATGTTTTTTTCATAATATGCACTTTCTATGAACTTTTCGAAGCCCTCTCACATTTCCTGTGAAATCACTACTTCGCTGGTACGGTCCTAGGCGCTGGAGCCACAGCAGACAGTCTCTGCCTTCATGGAGCTTATGAGAGAGTGGGGAAGACAGACAAACGGAGCATAAGTGCAGTGGGTTAAGCAGTCACTCGCAATGCCAGCAACCCATTATCAGAGCACCAGTTCACATCTCAGTAAGACTGCTTCTGATCCAGCTTCCTGCTCATGCGCCTGGGCAAGCAGCAGAAGACGGGCCAAGTACTTGGGCCCCCACCACCCATGTGAGAGACCCAGATGAAGCTCCTGGCTCCTGGCTTTGGTATGGCCCAGCCCTGGCTGTTGCAGGCATTTGGGGAGTGAATCAGCAGAGGAAAGATCTCTGTCTCTCCCTCTCTGTAGGTTTGCCTCTCAGATAAATAATTTTTTTAAATTATAAAAACAATGAATCCAATACAATTATGTTAAGTACTGATAAGAACAGGTTGTCTTATACAAGCATATAACTGGAAAAGTTAACCGAATATAAGGATCAGGTTGGGTATCTCTAGGAAAGTAACATCCAAATTAAAAACCTAAAGATAATCTGGAATCACCAGACAAAAGAAGGAGAGGGGGAAGAAGAAGAGAAGAGCGGAAAGCGAGTATTCTAGGCAAAGGAACAGCCACGGAGTACTGCACAGCTGAGACCCCAAGGCAGGACATAACAGTGTACTCGGTAAGTGAAAGAAGGTCCGTTTGTCCAGAATGCTGGAGGGGGCAAGGAGCAGGGAATGAGACTGGAAACATGGCCCGCGAAAAGAACTGAATGAAGTTCAAAGAACTATTAAAAAGTTTTGGTAGGTAGGCTGGCGCCGTGGCTCACTAGGCTAATCCTCCGCCTTGTGGTGCCAGCACACCAGGTTCTAGTCCCGGTCGGGGCGCCTCTTCCAGGCCAGCTCTCTGCTGTGGCCAGGGAGTGCAGTGGAGGATGGCCCAAGTGCTTGGGCCCTGCACCCCATGGGAGACCAGGATAAGTACCTGGCTCCTGCCATCGGATCAGCGCGGTGCGCTGGCCACGGCGGCCATTGGAGGGTGAACCAACAGCAAAGGAAGACCTTTCTCTCTGTCTCTCTCTCACTGTCCACTCTGCCTGTCAAAAATAAAAATTAAAATAAAAAAAAAAAGTTTTGGTAGGGAGTCGTGGCAAAGCAGGGTAAGCTATTGCTTGGGATGACTGCATCCTGTATGGGCGCCGGTTCCAGCCCTGGCTGCTCCGCTTCTGATCCAGCTCCCTGCGAATGTACCTGGGAAGCAGCAGATGATGGCTAAAGTATCTGGGCTCCTGCCACCCATGTGGGACACTAGACTGGAGTTCCTGGCTCCTGGCTTCAGCCTGGTCCAACTCCAGCTGTTGCTGCCATCTGGGGAGTGAACAAGCAGATGGAAGATCTGTTTCTCTGCCTTCAAATAAATAAATAAATCTTTTAAAAAAGGTTTAATTTGGGGGCTGACACTGTGGCGCAGTGGGTTAAAGCCCTGGTATACAGAGCCAGCATCCCATATGGGCGCTGCTTCATGTCTCGGCTGCTCCGCTTCTGATCCAGCTCCCTGCTAACGCACCTGGAAGACCCAAGTGCTTGGGCCCCTGCTCCCATGTGAGAGACCCAGAAAAACTCCCGGCTCCTGGCTTCGGATCAGCCCAGCTCCGGCTGTTGTGGCCATTTGGGGAGTGAACAGAGGATGGAAGACCTTTCTCTTTGTCTGTCTCTCTCTCTCTGTCTCTACCTCTCTCTGTAATTGTGTTTTTCAAATAAATAAAATAAATCTTTAAAAAAAAAAGGTTTAACTAGAGGAGGGACATTCATTCATTCAACCAACAAGTCTTTCTTGAATACCTGTGACATAGTAGGCACTGTTCTAGGTGCTAGAATGATAAGGTCACATTTGGTTTTCAAACAGCCCTCCCTGGCTACAGTGCACACAAGGGTGTGGGGGCAGGAAGGCAAAAATAGATGCTTTTGAGATGTCTAACAGTCTGGGGTATAAACTAGATGCAAACATTGCCAGATGAACACAAGAGAAAGTATGCACAAGTTAAATGAGAGCATATGAGCTGCAGGTGCTAAGCTACACAGCACACCACAGCAGAGACACCGGAATTCATGGGAAGAATTTCCAAATGGACACCACGTTATGAAACTTGGGCCAATGTTTGTGAGAGACATCTTGTGGTTTCACGGTGCCCATGGCCCTCCATGTGGAGAAGGCGCCACTCGAACTGAATCCTCAGAAGCCGCCCTGGAGGAGCGTTGTCCTTGCCAGGTGGTGAAACCTCGGCTCGCACAGGGCACCGGTGCCGTGGCTGGGACCTGCAGGGAGGGCTGCTATCTTCCCGAGCGCAGGGCGCGAGTCTGTCTGCCCCAGCGCTACCCCGTGTCACACCCAGAGTAGTCCCTCGACACTTAGGGAAAAGACGACTCCCACGGGCAAGCTCGCGCTCCCTGGAGCACTGCTGGGCATCATACAGGCAGAAAGTGAACGTGCGTATTTACACAAGTGCTGGGACGCCAGACGCCAGGGCTGTGGAGGCTGCCTGAGGCTCCGGCAGGTGGCGGGAGTTTGGGAAAGGCGCTCTGGAGAAGGTGGGCCCCGGACTACGGGGAGGAGCAGTCAGGAGGGGAGACGCTGGCAGATTCTGCCCTTTGAGAAGTCAAGACTCAGCGGCGAGGAAGATGGCAAGGTGTGTGTCCGCGGGGAAAGCTCTTACCTGAAGCCTCCCAGGCCGTGGGAGAAGATGATCAATGGGTATCCAGAGTCCTTTGTCTTAAAGGGGCCATTCCAGCTAACAGGCAGCCGATAAGATCCTGGCAGAGACAGGGCTATAGAATCTCTGGCTGCCCCAAAGTCGTCATCCCAAGGGCAGCGTGGGCGCAAGCATGGCGGGGACATGCGCTTTTCCCTTCTGAAAGACCCCATTCACCCCTGGGACAGCCCAGGGCAGCCAATCACCTAGTTTTGTTTTGTTTTGTTCTTTTCCCCCCATCTTTCCCCAAGGGAGAGTAAACACAATAGAAAATGGGAAGATACATCCCAAGGGGTCCTGGGTGCTGCGGCAGCAGCTGGGGTGGAGTTCCTGGTGGGGGGGCCTTTCCCGGTGGGGGGCCTCTGGCAGAAGTGGGTGGTGCAGCACGACCCCACCCAGAAGATGGCAGGACTGCAGGGAGAGCTGCAGGAGGCTGCGTGCCCCTTGACAGATAAGAGGGTGCCTTTGATCTGCAGATAGCAGTGCAGAGTTTGAATAAACAAGTAAGAGCTGCCAATAATGGCAGACATTTGCTGTCCCAAGCACTGCCCCGGGGCTGACATTCTACCCATACTGCAACTCTGCAGAGGGAGGTGCTCAGACAGGTTAAGTCACTTCCAACAGCTGCCGGGCTGGCAGATTACAAAGTCTGAGTTCCAGTCCCGCAGAGTCAGAGTCCACAACCAAAACTTTCACTATGAGGTTCTCTCCCAACTCGCACACCATACCCACCACAAAGGCGGTGGACACTGCAAGCACTCAGGCCCGGTGCCTGCCTGGGAATGTAACCAAGCAAAGTGGGACAGCATCTGGGGGCCACGCTGGTCCTCACCCACGGCCAGGTTGAACAGCAGGCCCCCCCAGCGCTTATTGAACCGCAGGTAATCAGCCAGGCCAGTGTAGTACTCGTAGCGGGGGATCCACAGGGGTTGCTCCGGGGTCTCCTCTGCCTCTTGGCAGGGGTAGAAGATTCGAAAGAAGCTCCCCTGTAGGAAAGAAGAGAGCAGGAAGCCAAGCACTGCTGGATTCCCCAGCAGACACGCCCGGCAGGTGTCTGGGGCACTAGCAAAGCAGGTACCCACACAAGCCTCACAGTTCACTAACGTACCCAAACCTCACCTTCAGGAAACCCAGAGAGAGGCAATTTTACTTGGAGCGAACACGTTAGGCTTATGTTATTTCAAATAGCCATCTATATTTACATTTACACCTGGGGGTGCCCCCAAAACTTTGAGCACTTGGGTCACTGAAGGACTTAAATCTGGCCGTGAGCCCAGCGCCAGGGGAGCCCCAAGAGCTGCAGGCCCAGCCCCCGCGCTGAACGGGGTGGCGTTGGTAGGTCGCCTGGGCCTCCCCGGCAGGCTGGCCGGCCCTCAGAAGTGGCAACACGCACTGTCCATGGGATAGGTGAGGGGTTAGCAGGCCACGCGTGCCTCCTGCGCAGCAGAGGGGAGTCCACGGGCCGGCGGGGAAAGGCCTAGGAACTGACCAAGACAACGTCCAGAAGCTGACGCAGGAGGGAAACAGGTGCAGGCAGAAGCCACGGAGATGTTTCGGGGCAGGGCTGGAGACACTTACCTGCAGACCCTGGCCTTCCATCACGTCCCCGCAGCCTACGCGGTGGGGTCCTGTGACCGGGGGAAAGCACACGGACTGGCTGGCCCCCATCTCATCACCGCTGGACGCAAGTGACTCGGGCAGAGCTGCGCTGGGCTGGGAGGAGGAACACAGGGCAGTCTCACGCTGGCTTCCTCGTAGCTTCTTGCTTATTCAGGCCATCGGCCATCCCTTTCCCCATCTTATCACCCCATCCGCCCTGCCAACCACACGCGGAATCTTGCACAGCATCTACTCCTCTGCAACACGGACTTTGCCAAGGTTTGTGTGTGTGTGGGGGGGGGTTGCTTTTTATTTTTTGGTTGTTTGAGGACACGATCACGGAGATAGAACTTCCCTACTCCTGAAAACCGACCAGTGAGCATTTATTCAGCACCTACTATGTGCCCCGAACGGCAATAACTGCTGCTGAGACCACAACAGACCCTCATGAGGCTGACAATAAACTATTGATCCCAGCAGCACTGGGCAAGCTCTTTCAGCGCATCCGCCTCCTTTCATTCTCTCAACGGCTCTGAGACAGGCACTGGGAAGACCCTGCTGGACAGAGGAAACCAGGGCAGAGAGAGGCGGACTCACTTTCCCTGGTGACCCAGCCTGTCTAACCCAGAGGCCGAGTTCTCAACCGTGACTGATGCGCTCATGGAAGGCGCAGCTACACAAGGGCAAAGTCACCAATCCAAAGTTGTGCTGAGCCTCGGAGGATGAGGAAGTTTAGAGAGGCAAGGAGGAGGCAGGGAGAATGCTAGACGTCGTAGAAGAGCAAAGAAAGGGCAGAGATGGGGAGACAGGTGGACAGCGCATGGAACAGGGGGCACCAGCGTTGAGGGCGTGCACGCTTCTGACCACGCGGCATCCCGAGGACTCCTCTGCTTCCTCAGCTCGCGCTCTTCAGTTTCACCATCAGCAACGGCACCCCCACTACCGCACTGTTTGCACCAGGGACTGTTTGTGCATATCATGGATTTAATCCTCACAGAAATCTCTATTTGTGTTATCATTTCACGGTACACGCGGGGAAACTCAAGCTTGATAAAACTGGGTCATCCGCCCCACAGGAAGCAGCTAGCACAGCCGGGTTTTGCTCAAGGGCAGTGTGGCTGGCCCGCGGAGAATGCGTTCCGACCTCCCAGGACCCGCTGCCTTAGGATTTCAGTGGGGCAGGCCCCTCCCTGTCCTCCAGGACTGAACCCTAATGCACCTGAGCCCATCAGCCCTCGTTATCCCAGTCACTCTGTGGATGAAGAGGGGACACGTGACATTAAGTGGGTCCTGTCTGAGCAGAGCCCAGGGCTTCAGTTTGATGGTTGAAGGGAGCGAGTTCTCTCTTGTTTTGAACAAGAGTGATGAGAAGATGTCACGTGTGGAGTGACCTTGAACTATAGCAGCCACTTTAGCACCTTGAGGATGAAGTTTCTACCCAAGGAGAAGGGCAGAGGCGACAATCACAGGGAAATGAGTCACTTTTTTGAAGCCATGAAACCCCTGGCTCAGGCCCTACCTGAAACCTGAGCCCTTCCTAGGCTTTCTGCTGTAAAAGACTTTATTTATTGGAGAGAGAGAGGAGCCAGCATTCTGGTGTAATGGGTTGAGCTGACGCCTGCAATGCCAGCATCCCACATGGGCGCTGGTTCAAGTCCTGACTGCTCCACTTCTGATCCAGTTCCCAGCTAACGTGCCTGGGAAAGCAGCAGAAGATGGCCCAACTGTTTGTGCCCCTGCACCCACATAGGTGACTCGATGATGCTCCTGGCTCCCAGCTTCGGCCTGGCCTAGCCCTGGCCATGTGGCCATTTAGGGAGTGAACCAGAGGATGAGAGACCTCTCTCTCTCTCTGTAACTCTGCCTTTCAAATAAATAAAATAAATCTTTTTTAAGAAAAGAAATAGGCCGGCGCCACAGCTCAATAGGCTAATCCTCCGCCTTGCGGCGCCAGCACACCAGGTTCTAGTCCCGGTTGGGGCGCCGGATTCTGTCCTGGTTGCCCCTCTTCCAGGCCAGCTCTCTGCTGTGGCCAGGGAGTACAGTGGAGGATGGCCCGAGTACTTGGGCCCTGCACCCCATGGGAGACCAGGATAAGTACCTGGCTCCTGCCATCGGATCAGCACAGTGCGCCGGCTGCCGCACACCAGCCGTGGCAGCCATTGGAGGGTGAACCAACGGCAAAGGAAGACCTTTCTCTCTCTCTCTCTCTTTCACTATCCACTCTGTCTGTCAAAAAAAATAAAATAAAAAAAAAAATAAAATAAAATAAAGAAAGGAAGGAAGGGAAAAGGGAGAGTGACAGAGAGAGGGGGACAGACAAAGACATCTTCTGTCTCCTGGTCACTCACCAAATGCCCAGAACAGCCAAGACTGGACCACATCAAAGCCAGGAGCCAAGACTGCAACCAGGTTTCCCCCATGGGAGGCAGGAACCCAAGGATTTCAAACAACCTTCCGCTGCTCTCCCACACACATTAGCATGGCGCTGGGTCAGAAGCAGAGCAGCCAGGGCCTGAATCAGTGGTCCAGTATGGGATGTTGACGTCACAAGCAGTGGTTTAACCTGCTGCACTACAACACCGGGCTCTAGGCTTTCTTTCCCATTTAAAACACCCGGAGGCCAGCGCTGTGGTGTAGGAGGTAAGGACTCCACCTGCAGTGCTGGCATCCCATGTGGGGGCTGGTTCGAGTCCTGGCTGCTCCACTTCTGATCCAGCTCTCTGCTATGGCCTGGGAAAACAGTGAAAGATAGCCCAAGTTCTTGGGCCCCTGCACCTGTGTGGGAGACCCAGAAGAAGCTCCTGGCTCCTGGCTTCGGATCAGTGTAGCTCCAGCCATTGCGGCCATCTGCAGAGTGAACCAGCGGATGGAAGACCTCTCTCTCTCTGTAACTCTGCCTTTCAAATAAATAAATAAATCTTTAAAAAACAAAACAAAAAAAACCTTGTATTTAGATTCCCATTGTTTACAACCGAAAATATCTATAGTTAGATACACTGACTCCCAGGGCCACACTGTTAATTAGATTATTCTGCACCTTTAAGACACTCCGGGAGGAATGAGAAAGTTCAAGTCAAAGCACGTATGGGCGAGCAGAGACCTCAGAGATCGTTTCTGCCACGCCACCTGACAACCAACACCCCGCCTCCAGTACACACATGTGCTTTATTGATGGAGAAACCAAGGTCCTGAGATTAACCTGCTGCTCGGGGCACGAGTGGAGCTGTCATCACACACAGATCTCTAGTCTGCCAGCTTCCAAGTGTCTGCTGCAGTGAGAAACACCCACATCACGCTAATGTCGTCCTACTGAACTCTGCAAGAGAACAATTTTCTGGCGTGGACATTTGGCACAGCAGGTGCGACATCAGCTGTGACATCCACAGCCCATATAGGAGTGCCCGGATTCAAGCCCCACTTCTGCTCCTGATGCCAGCGTCCTGCTAATGCACACCCTGGGAGGCAGCAGGTGATGGCTCAGAGAGTTGGGCCGCTGCCACCCAAGCAGATCTATATTGAGTTTCTGGATCCTGGCCTCAGCCTGGCCCAGTCCTGGCTCCTGTGGACATTTGGGGAGTGAAACACAGGCAGCAGATCTCTGTCTGTCCATCTCTGTCTCTCTGCCTTACAAACAAATAAATAATTTTTAAAAATTATTTCCTGTGGCGTAGCAGGTAAAGCTGCCGCCTGCAGTGCCAGCATCTCATGTGGGTGCCAGTTCGAGTCCCAGCTGTTCCACTCCTGATCCAGCTCTCTGCTGTAGCCTGGGAAAGCAGTAGAAGATGGCCCAAGTCCTTGGGCCCCTGCACCTGTGTGGGAGACCCGGAAGAAGCTCCTGGCTCCTGATCGGCACAGCTCAAGCCGTTGCAGCCACTTAGGGAGTGAACCAGCAGATGAGAGACCTCTCTCTCTGCCTCTCCTTCTCTCTCTGTGTAACTCTGAGATAATAAATAATCTTTTTTAAAAATTATTTTCTTTCCACCACAGGCTTAATTTCCTCATTTCACTTCTCTGAAGCAAATTTGAAAATAAACCCAATTCTTTTTCAAAAGTTACGCTCCTAACTCAGCCAGCGGATTGTTCAGTGAAGGTGGCCGGGGCGCTGCTCTCACTCCCTGACCTCTTCCTCCTTGCGGCTGTTGAAGGCTTGCACAAGGATGACCTGCGGCTGGGGTCACAAGACGCGCGCCAGCCACATGACAGCAGGGCAGCTGCACGTCCCAGCCATCATGAAAGATAGTCGGATAAGCCGCAGGAGTTCAGAGAAGAGTGCCCTGCTGGCTCGGGAGCAGAGGGCCGCGGACGGGAGAGGCTGCTTGGCCAGCAGAAGACGGTGTGAACAAAGGCAGCACTAAGAAGGCCTGTGCGAGCCACGGCCAGGGCTCAGGGACGGACACGAGGGGAGGAAAGACGGCAGAGACTGCACTCAGAGGGTGGCGCTCCCTCAGGGACAGCGGGGGTGGGCAGAAGAGACACTAGCGGGCCCAGCGGCCCTGCAGCCTGGCTCTCCTACCTTGAGCACTGCGCATTCTTGTGAGGTGGAGACGGAGACGGGGGGGGGGGGGGGGATAGTGCATTCAAAGCGTTACTCAAGTTACTCAAAGAGGTAGGCGTGAGCACAGTGGTCGGTAGAGGGGTCCCTAACTGCCAACACCCCACAGCAGAGCGCCTGGAGTCCCTACCCGCCTCCTGACTCCAGCTTCCTGTGACTGTGCACCCTGGGAGGCACAGATGATGGTTCAAGCTGTTGGGTCCCTGCCACCCACGTGGGAGACCTGGCTTCGGCCAGGTATGGCGCCAGCTGTTGCAGGCAGGAGATCTGTCATCTGCCTCACCCCCGTTCAAAAAATTAAATTAAAAAAATTTGAAAAGCACCTCATCCAGTGGTAGCTGGCCCTTAGGAAACGCTTGTTGACTGAACGAAAAGCAGAAACAATAGGATCTGCGACTGAGTGGACTTGGAGAGGAAAGGGAGAGGGGCGAGCTGAAGGATTTGGTGACTGCAGTTTACGGGAAAGTTTTTTTTTTTTTTAGATTTTATTTATTTATTTGAGAGTCAGAGTTACAGAGAGAGGGAGAGACAAAGGGAGTGGTCTCCCATTCGCTGGTTC